GGACGAAGTTTAAGGCCTTACGGGCGAAAAAACGATACATATTTACATTGTCCTTATGGGTCTGGTCCCGAACTTTCTGGTCTCTGGGCCGCCTGTACCAAAAGCCTCGAGACCGCTCTCGGACTACGACTCCAGTCCGGATGAGCCGGTCTCTGTACTGAGGATCGGAAATCTGGAAGAAAACCCAAATGCGGACCTCACGGAACACCCGTGAAAAATAATTTTAGAAAAAACAACCCACTGAAGAATAAATCCGACTGTCCTTTCTTCAATGAAGACAAAGACAAAGGCAGCGTCTATCCGCTAGAGATTATTAAAGACCGAATCCGGTTACGAGTCTCCAAAACATAACGGAAAACAGAATTACAGGAAAGCACCGTGAAGCCGAAGGAAAACACACCTGAAAGTTGAGGGGGAAAAAAGCTTCCACAAGCCACACGTTCTCTATAAAAGACTCCTAAAATTGGAATGTTTAAAATGGTGTTTATTTCGCCGGGCGCATACTGTATAAGTGGAAGGGGCGCGTTTATGAGACTCAAACTTTTAATTGCATAGATTAACTCGTAAATATCTGCGATATTATTTCAACGAATGACATTCGTTCCATAGCTTGACGTAAACTGCTGATATGACGTAATTATGAGACAGGAGAAGGTCATGCGTAATATTTTAAATGAGTAAATTACTAATTAGTATGATAGATTTCCACAATAATCTCTCGTTCTCCTGTCGCCGCAAAAAAGATAATTATCTGTTAATTTATACATCATCGCCAGACTGAAATGCGGTGTGCAGAGCCGCGTTTTCCGGAAACTCGGAGTTTGCTTGTTGAGAAAAAAAGGTTTGTAACTAGTAAACACGACCCGCCCAGAGGAAGCGCTTCAGATAAAAAAAACGGAAACAGCGTAAAAAAACGGAAACTTTGCACCTCCGCCCCCCGACACACACAAGTCATTGGAGCCCCGAGACTTAGCGACTTTAAAGCTTCTGACGTCGGATGGATTTGGAAAATAATCGCGTGGGGTTGACATTGAGCAGAGAGATTTACATTTGTTTAAACCCACACCCTACGCGCTGAAAAGAAACTTGCCATCATTTTTCAACAAACATAGCATATCGACATTGTGTGCTACACAAGGACATGTCAGAAAACGTGGAAGAATTTAAACGCTCCAGTAGAAGCTTTAATTCTTTCAGGGATGAACAGCTCCGATTAGATCACGCTGTTGAAAAGGGCGGATCATTTTAATTGAGGTGAATTCGTATCATGGAGCATACTTTGCGTGTCAGTAGAGACTGAAGAGTTAGGACGGGCCTCCAACCAGCATCTTAAGATTAAAGAACGAGCCCGTTTTCTTTGCTGATGGGGGGACGGGCGCGGTGAAAACGACATTTCGTTAACACAGACGTGAGGCTGATTGATTTCCAGTAATTAACGCTGACTCGATCTTAAAGACCTTGCACAATGAGCCAAAAAAATTAAAAAAACCCAACAAGATTAACAAATTCCTTTTCTTAGTAGGTGAGGCATATACGTTAAATCTATATTTATGTGTGTGAGAAGTTATTACGGTCTCTCAGGAGTGAAGAACGTTGTGATCTCCAGTGCTGGTAAACTCGAGTTGGGAAGGGAATGTGTATAAAGATTTTGAGCTCATTCCCAGTCTCTCGGGTTTTGGAACTGTCCCCGGGCTCTGGTGCTGAAGTTCTGCTTTTCAAATAATCACGGTTATTTTAAAACACGAATCTGTGAAGACTTCATTTCTTATGCGCCGAATATAACGTGGCATATCTTTATTTCTAAAGTAAACATTAATGCCTAAAGCGTTGTATCGTGTGTTCAGGATTTCAGGCTGAAACGCAGTATTGTAGTTAAACTAAGGCTCGTTTAACAACAAGATAAAAAGACTTTGCAATTTTGCTTTAATTTTCTCAGACCTGACTGAGATAGCAATTAAATTCCATCTTCTTCCCCACTTTCCTTAACATATCCGTTTCTCAATCAGGAAGGCTTATTGTGAACAGTGCTCTCTCTTTCGAGTAATTACCAATTGTAGTTCTTTTTAATATCAGAGAATGATTTTTTTTAAATGTGCGTACGGCGTAAATGAAGGATTCTGATAAAAGTAGGTCAAGAATTGACCTGTGTCTTTTGTCTGTTTGGTTATTTAGTGACCTTACGATCTCGTTAGAGGACAGAGGACAGGGGACAGCCGGGTCTGACCGCTCGCTGCTCGCTGCCCTCATGTCTTGTAGCATGGTGATTAAGACTGTACCCGAATCACTATCTGACAGCTGGCGTTGTGTTGTGTTGTGTAAAGTGTTGGATTGTGCGCGTGCTTGCGTGAATGCGACAGACGACACGTGCCGAATTATCTTATACAAATTTCACGTGATAGTCCTGGAAAAAAAAGGGGGCACGTTAAGTCAAATGTATTAACTGCTATCTAATTAAGGTAATTGGGTAATTTTATGGGACATAAGGTGTCAGTTACCACAATTAATTTTGTAGGTGAGAGGTATTTATTTACCTTTTAACAGTTGTCTATTGCTGTAGAATTGTAACCGACCATCATTGTAGAACGACATTTAATGAGCTAGAGTTGTTCCGAGAATTTTGATATTTTGAAGCCAATCGCTTAAAAAACGAACGTTTGTTTCCGTTTAAAACATTAATTGGTTGTATATTCGTAACATATAAAATTAAGACGCAGTCTTCTTTTTTCATAAAACAACAAACGTGGCTTCTAGTTAATTTAGGATTGTTTTGTGGTTGTTTTTTTCCACTCTTCTGTGTAAAACCAGTCACCGACTTGTTCAAGCGGAACAAACGATTACCCCAGCTGAGACCGTTTACAATCCTCTGATTATGGTGCTTTCCCTTTTTATTGTAATTGGTAACAAATGGACGTTTATCTTTAAACATACGCGCACCGTGTGGAGTGAAAGGCAATTAAGATCTAGACGTGGTTGTTAAGCTCTTTAAGAAAATATCTATAACGTTCATTTGCTTTAATTCAGGCCGTGCGCGGTTTAGGAGAGACTTTTAAACGTCTCCTGTTTCATCTCGTCTCTTTTCTATCTGATTGAAGATGTAAAGTTGCTCGTGAGCAAACGCATAAATACGTAGTGCTATGGCTGATGTCGGTAGGACGGGAGGGGTTCGAATACACTGAAGTTATAAATGATCACCTTCGAAATATCACGATAACACACTTGTAGTCAAACTCAGAACTTGACTAAAAGAAGCAAAAGGAGATCTTTAGACATTGTCGATAGACAGTACCTACATTTAATTCTGATTTTGACTATGAGTCGGTTATGGTGATTTAAAGAAGCTTATTATTATTATTTTATTTTCGTCTCCAAGGATCTCAAATCGCTTTACGTAGGAAGCGGAGTTTTTCTAGAAACAATGAATGTCCTACATGACTGATGAAATCTTGAGAATCTCGAATCACCTGCCCGTCTGTTTCTAACAAACTATCGGACTTTTGTTTTAACGATAAAAACGATGGCCCACGCAGCTCCGCAGGAGGAGATGGCAAAACCGTGCAAAAAAAAAACAAATCACCCCGCTTGGACTGTAAGCACAAATTCCGGGACGATCGCAGAAACATCAGCGTTGTGGGAGAGAGGAGGACGGGGGGTTATAGCTCATGTTTTTCTTTTTTTTTGCGTGGATATATCAGTGTTCTG